ACACACACTCTTGCTCACTTTCAGTTCCAGAAACACACACAGATACAGGCAGGTAGCTCTTATTGTTTTCTGATGCTGCTTGATGCTCATGATGAATGACAACCACTGCATTACTCTCCACAACACGCCTGAGTTCTGGCTCTTGATTTCTTTTGTTTCTTCTTGCCTTTAAAGAGAGATCTGACCTTTTTAAAGCATAATGGATCTACAAGAATAAGAGTTTATTGATGACTAATTAGAGCAGATTCTCCCTAAAAATACATTTTCTTTCAACGTTGACTCATAGGTCAACCTGCATGTTAATTAATTAGAAGACAAACGCCAAAATAAAAGTGCTTTTAGATCCTTGACTCATCATGCACCTGAGTCACAATGTCGCAGTAACCTGAAATGTCAACAGAAAATGTCCTGAAGTGTGAATAAGAGTTTATCTTTCTAGAGATGCTATTTTATAAGTTCATCAGTCAACAGAGGACAAATGTACAATAGAGGAGTCAGAGATTGTCACAGTGTGAGTCTAAAGGCTGTTTTTTAATTTAAAGGAACAGGTTACCTGTGGGAGAAATTACTTCCTACCAGAACACAAATGTTGTCATTGCTACATATTGATAATCACCAAACTGTGTAGAGAAGCTGTCATGTTAGGAGAATAGCAACAACACAAAAGATTTGTCCTGTCTCTGCAGGTGGAAAACCAAAGAAAATGTCTAAGAATTTATATTACTCTCCAAAAGGGGGAAAAGATCATTTATGGAATACCTGGCATCCCATAAAATATATCTACATTTATATTTCATGTTCATATTTTATGTTGATTGAAATAAAGCTTCTATTAACCTGAATTGCTCTTGGCTCTTATTTTCCTTCTCTTGTTACATCTTTTTCTGCTTATTGTAACTCCATCAGAACCACAATGAATTGATGTTATTCTGCTTGATTGGAAATGAACTTGATGCTCAGGAAAGGTTCATCCTATCATAACTAAACAAAGCAGTCCCAATTCCAACCCTTAAAGCCACATCAGAAGCTTTGAACTGTCCTT